CTATTTAGTTTTGGAAAAATCTGTAAAATATCAAAATGTTTTGTATGTAAATCTCGAATATACCGTTATAATAATTTTGTGAATATTTACAAAAATAAACAGAGATTTACGAAAATATATGCAAAAATTTTCAAAAATAAATAGAGATTTACAAAAATATATGCAAAAATTTTTGAAAATAAATGAAACAAAAAATTCCGGAGATTTACGAAGGTGTCGTATAACTCCGAAAATTTAACGAGGCAAAAAATTTCAAAATATTTCGCCTTTAAAAATTTCCTGATGGTAGTGAATTTTGAATCATTCAACTAGTCTTATCTGGCAGAATCCCTTGTTTCAAACTGGACGATACCTACTATCTAAGCTTTGATCTTGTTAATATTTAAAAAAACTTTGTAAAATTTTTTTACAGATCTTTTTTATTTTTTGTTTCATGAAGGAAAAAGAGTTTTTTCTTGATGTGATTAGATACAATGGCTAAATACTAATACAATAATTAAATTTTGACACAATTCTGATTGGTTAGTGTAATTATAAAATTTACTAAATAATTATTTTTATGGTTTTATATTTAGTTTTAAATTAATTTTGTATAATAAGAAATAATTTTTACTATAATAGTTTTAAAATAGATTAAAAGTTTTGGTTTTTAGTTACAATATAAGATATTTTATTTTTGTAATATTAAAATTTGTTAAGTTATTAACATTTTAAGTTTATATTTGATGTTTTTATTTTAAGTGTTTTTTGTTTTGTTTTTATTTTAAGAGAGAAAGAATGAGAAAGAATGAGAATTTTAAAAATTGCAATGAATTTAGCTGGCACAATTAATTGAGCCAGAATTTAGCCAGAGCAAAACCAATTAGCCAGGATATAATTAATTAAGCTAACATCCTTAGTAATATCATTAAATAAAAAATTTCATTTTAAAGATATATATATATATATATATTAATTATCTTGTATATTGTGATACTGCACAATTTAACCATTTTTAGCAATTAAGAATTTCCATAATCAATTAATTAAAATAAACTTTCCTGATTAATAAGTAATAAAAAATAAATTTTGACTTACACAATTATCTAAAAAATTGACAAAATGACTTTGAAAATTGACAAAGTGACTTTGAAAATTAGCTAAAATTAGTTTAGATAATTCAAGAATAGGTGATGAGTTTTTGTCAATTTTCCAACAGATCAAAAATTGGTAAAGTATTGATTCTGATTTTCAGATCATACAAAATCAGATTGGCTGTTTGGAAATTATGCAAAATCAGTTACAAATCATGCCAATTCAAAAATCAAATTAAAATTAACAAAATCCAATTTTTTTTTCATTTGACCTGTGTTATTTTTGAAAAAAAGTCACTCTGAATTAACTTCAATTCAATAGTTTTGATGACATATATACCATGTATCATTTCCTTTGATAATCACATACCTAAAAATAAATCATTATAATTAATACATTTTATCTTTTAACAGAAGAAAGGTAGGAAATGATGAATATATTGCTATTGTTGTATTAGATAAATTAATTTAATGTGAAATAATTCTTTAATGAATAGAATAAGAAAGGATCTCAAATAAATAAATAATTTATACTTAATTCTAAAAAAAAAATTTATGAAACAAAATAAATCATATATTTTATATATTTCCAGAAATTATTCTATGATTTCAATAGAGAATAGTTGATAATAATTTTTTTTTAGTGCTAAAATTACAATTATCACAATCATCATAAATAATTGTTATTTTCTACTTCTTCGACCCTCTTTTTCTAATTTTACTTTGTGTGCTTCAGTTTTAGCTAATTTTTTCATTTAAAAGATGAACAACATAAAATGAATACATATACAAAACAGATACAATATCACATACAATAGATTATACTAACCTTCAGCATCGGCTTTTCTTTGTGAAGCTGCTTCTTCTCGTTGTTTCCTTATAACAGCCAAACGTGCTAAATCTGCTTTAGCTTGATCTGTTTTGCCTTCTAAATGAAGTTTCCAATATCTTTGTCTAGCTGCTTCTTTTTCTAAAGCTTCTCTAGAATATCAAATACATTAATAATGTCAATCAAATATTTATTAAATAATATTAAATATATCAAATATATCAAATATATCAAATATATCTAGTATTTAACAGAATCTTAAAATATTACTCTCAACCAAACATTATGGCTTTATATACCTTTCTCTTCTAGACAATTCTCTAGTCGATGAAATATCTGATACTTTTAAACTGTCTTTTTTATTATTTCGGTTGGGATTTGATATTTCAAATTTTGATTCATCCTTGTATAAAAATTCACAAAACAAAATTTATTAAAATAAATATTTATGAATATTTAATGTCTAATAATTTTATATACCAATTCTTCTTCGCTCGACTCTGAAGCATTAGAACCATTTAATTCATTTCCACTTTCATTTTCCTCGGAACTTTCCCCAGAATCTTTTTTTATTTCTCTTTTATTTCTATACTAAATATGTAGATAAATTAATTCTGTTTGAATTAAGTATAACAATCACTGGTTTAAAATGACAATTTTTTTTTTTTGATTATATTGAATCAATATTATACCTCCCACCCTTCAGAATCTCCACTCTCGAGGTTCCTAGGGTTTGTAAAGCGATGTCCTCCTCCACGAACAGGCTTTCTAGATTTATAGTGACTTTTTGGAGGCATATTTATTTATTACTGCACGCAAAAGAACACAATAAAGATATAAAAATATACGGTCAAACAAGTGATAATTAGATTATGTGATGTAAAGTGTGATTACTAATTAAAGTGTTCCAATAGAATTAATAGAATTACTAAATTTACAGTGAAAAATTTATGCTAATGCGAAAACTACAAATTTATAAATGTTATGGAATATTATATCCCATCTCTAATATTTATACTCCATTAATAGTGATTGAAGATGTGATGATGGTTACGTAACTACGGAGAAGCCAAATCAACTCGGAAAATTTTTTTCACAACTTAATTTTATATAAACTTTAAAAGGTGCGGACAACACGCGCCTTGCGTCAAATCCGTAAAGAAATGAAGGATTTAATTAATCGATTAATCAATAATGATTATAATAATGGAATAATTGGATATATTTCTTGAATTTTTTCTCGTGCTACTTGAATATACTTTTGAATATACTTTTGAAAAATACTGTCATATAAAGAAATTTTAAATGAGCATTTGAAAAATACAAGAATATTGACTATATTAAATAAAATTAATTCTAGTTATTCTGACCCTTCTCAGATTCCAAATTAATCAAAATTAATATTGTATGTTGAATTGTTGAATAACTTTCCCTTCATATTTCAAATCCACCACTTTAATCCAACTTTCTAAATCCGAAGCTTTATATATTCCAGGTATAACACTTACAACTGCTGATTTGTTATTAAAAAATAATTTTGAATCAATTACATTTGGTCTTGAATCTAAAAATTTCTTGATCTTATTTGCACAACCTTCACAACCGATTCCCCGAATTTCTAGTATAAAGATTTCTTTTTCGGGTACAGTATTTACATTGATTAATTTTATGTTTCCTTCATTGTAAAATGAAACAAATTCGGGAGAGAAACATAATAATAATGAAATTATGAGGGTATTGATAGTTTGTTTGGATTTAATTCCAAATTTTTTTATGGTAAGGAGAAAGAAGATTACGGTAAAACTTAGAAATATTGAGCGAAATGGAGTTAATATACTGAAACCAGCACATCCTACCGAAAACATGTTTAATATAAGCTGAATTATACAACAACTGGAACTTAATAGACCAGTTATAATTGCACCAAAGTAATAAGGTAAATTCTTGGATTTCATTATTTTGTTTTATTTAAAATTATCGCGAGAATAGATCATAAGGTTGTTCAATGTATATATACGTGTAACCTTGAGTTGAACAAAAAAAAAAATTTCTGTAACTTAATTTTTTAAATCGTATCGTTAACATTTTAACATGTCAACCAAAGATGACGATATTGATAAACAATTATCAACTATTAGTTCTACTTTAATATCTCCAAAATATTCGACTTTAACCATGCGATTTCAACGTACTCATTCTTGGTCAACTGCTTCGTCTTCAGGTGAAGAACATCAGTTATATGAAGAAGAGTTAATACCACCTGATAATTTTACTATGGTTTCAACTTGGATTTATAGAAGTAGTTTTCCGAAAAAAAAGAACTTTGCGTTTTTGAAGAAACTTGGTTTACGAAGCATTTTGTATGGGTTATTCAAGTCTCTCTCTATATATCACTTTCTCTCTTCTCCCTTTCTCTCTTCTCCCCTTTCTCTCTTTTCCCCTTTCTCTCTTTTCCCCTTTCTCTCTCTTCGCTTTTTACTGTATTTTGGATGAAAAATGGAAACGATGTACAATGTAATACGGATAAATTATCGATTTCAATTTGTGATCTAATAAAAAAATTGTTCATGTTCGTTTACAAATAAAATTAAAAAAAAAAAAGAACTTTGATCTTGGAAGAATATCCTGAGCAAAATAAGAAGTTTCTGGAAGCAAATAATATTGAATTGTTTCAATTCGGAATTGCGGGAAATAAGGTACTGTTATTATTGTTATATTTTCTATTGTTATCAGTTATTATTATTAATTGATCGATTGTTAATTTATTATTAATTATAAAAAAATATTTAGGAACCTTTTGTTCAAAGTTAAAAATCATTTCAATTTTTATTTCTCTTTATTTTATTTTTTACATGAAATTTATGAAATCTATGGAATTATGAAATATATGAAATGCTGACTTTATCTTATTATTTCATTTGGGACCTTTTTTTTTTTTTAATTATAGTACCCGAGGATAAGATTTGTGCGGCATTGGCAGTTATATTAGGAATGTCACATTATATTTTATATTTTATATTTTATATTCTATGAAATTATTTTATCTTTACAAATATTTAATTGTGATTAATAACGTCCACTTGGATTTTACAGATCAACGTAATCATCCAATTTTAATACACTGTAATAAGGGAAAGGTATCTAAAAAGATATAATTACTATTCTTTAAATTTTCTTAAATTATTTTCTTAATAAAAATTATTTATTTTAAAAAGCATCGAACAGGTTGTTTAATTGGATGTCTTCGTAAAGTACAACGATGGTCATATACATCAATATTTGATGAATACCGACGATTTTCTCATCCTAAATCACGATCAATGGATCAACAATTTATTGAATTATTTGATACTAGTCAGGTTTGGAAACTTGTAGATAAAAATTATATTCCAAAATGGGAAGTTTTGGGTGAGTATTTTCGTGGTTTCTTCTCTTTACGAGAGTATCACAACTTATTTATAAACTTTTAGGTGATCCTTGGTAAAATTATGGTAAATTTACACGGCGGCTAAAGTTAATGTTAGGCGCACATTAGGAACATTAATTTATTTATTATGCCGAATGTTCGTGTTACATAATTTATTAAGAAGCCAATAGAAACTCCTTTTAAGTTGAGTGTTTAGTAATCCCATTTAGTTTAGAATTTGTTTGACAGACAACATATTTATTTAACTTTTCCTTTTTTTTTTTTTTTTTCCTAGAAATAAAAATTACAAAAAAGGAAAGTTCTTTCCCCTGAGATTTTTCTTTATTTCACAAAATATTTTTTTTAATAATAACTATTTTCCATAACGTTATTCCTATTCACATGACTCTTGGCACATTTTCTGAGAGAAGAGAATTTTCGAAATACTTTACTCGTTTAGTATCATTTCCTAGTAAAATAGTAATATGTTATATTTATTAAATTCTTTTTTTGCAAATTTAAAACGTAAATGACATGGAAAATAAAAAATAATAAAAATAAAATAAATAAAATAAAATAAAATAATACAATCCAAAGAAAATAATTATCTTAAAATGTACATTAAAAGTGAATTATATAAGTCTTAAAAACACGCGTCTAAACAACAACATAAGCAAGCGCCCAGTGCTAATCCAGCACATAATCCAGCATTATCATTTTTCTTGGGTGCCGGTTGAACAATAACTTGAGGTGGAGGTGTTTGTTGATAATATTGTTGTTGTGGATAATGTTGTTGGTGTTGGTGATGTGGATAAGCACCTTGAGGTGGTGGTGGTGGTGGATAATAACCTTGTGGTGGTGGCGGAGGATAATTACCTTGAGGTGGAGGTGGTGGAGGATAATAATCTGGTCCTGGATAACCTTTATTATCTCCCATATTTATTAATTAATAATTATTATCTTTATACTAATATTGAAATATTAATTAATATCAACTGATATTAATATATTTTCGTTTAGTAATTAATTATTTTATTTTTTTATCTCAATCGTTCGTTCGTTCGTTCGTTTATTCGTTTTGCTGTAACATGAAAAAATAAGATTCGTTTTACGAATTATATTGGATTGATATAAAAAGTTTGAAAAATTTTCGGAAAGTTTGAATTTCAGGATGCTTTTTATACATTATTGTGACGCCCACTTCCTAAAATAGACATATCATATTAATCAGCAAGAATTTGATTTGTTTGGATACTTACTTCAAATAGATGTTCGTGTTACGTAATACAAAAATATATAAATTTGATTCCTATAATGAAAACACCGCAGGAACTATAGTTAGAAACTACTAATTTATTTACTATCATTTATTTCATATTTTTCATTATTTCATTTATTACATAATTGAAGCAGACCAATGTGAAGGATTATTCTTTTACATTTAATATAATAATTTTTAGTACTTGATATGATAAATAATGAAAGCAACGAAAATTAAAAAAATTAAAAAAATTAACAAAATTAACAAAATTAACAAGATTAACAAAATTAACAAGATTAACAAAATTAACAAAATTATATAATACAAAAAAAAAAAAGGACTAATAGGAATAATTTAAAATTTTCTTAATAATAAATGAATTAATGAATCCATAAAAATCATGATATTAAAATTATTAGTTGGTCATTATTATTTTGTCAGTGAATAAAAAATGCAAAAAATGGGCACATCTAAAATGATCAAAAGAAAGAAAGATAGGAAGTAAAAAATTTACATAAAAAATTCATTCTTATCACTGAAACAAAATATGTCGAACCTTGTCTTCTGCCTGCTTATCTGTTCGAATTAAAAAAAAAAAAAACTATTATTCATTATCAACCCAATTACTAGCTAATCTTCCAAAGAATGGTAATTCAAATCGTTCCAATGTTGCTCCGTCCAGATAAGCACGATAACTAGAATGATAATAATAATAACAATTATTATTATTATTTTCTTCCTTTCCTTTCATCACCACACAGAGAACATAGCTGTACAAATTATAAACAATTTACTTACGCGAGGTAAACAATAAGTAAAATTTCAGTAATTAATAAAGTCCAATTCAGAATACTTGAAATGAATAGAACAATAAAATGACATGCCTAATAATTAATTAATTAATAACTAAAAAATCATGATACTCTAATATTATTAAAAAAAAAAAAAGATAAAAAAAAAATTAGAAAATCATCATTACAAAGAGTGTTGTAAATAAGACTGATGACTATTTGTCAATTTTAATAATTAATTAATTTCAATTTTTAGTGGATTTAGTGCGAAAAACGAAAATAAATATATTTTTTTTTTTTTTAAAAAAAAAAAGAATAAAGAAGGTTTAGTTTGTATAAAATCAAATTCAAATTATTCTTATATTTAAAAATGTTTTGAAAAATCTTTACCTGCCATGCATGAAATCTCACATAATCATTCTTTTGTTCAGCTATTAAAAATAAGACTCCTATTATAAAGATGAATTATAAATGAATTATAAATTTAAGATTATATTTAAAAAATTTGAAAAACAAGAAAAAAATTTAGATCTTAAATTTATACCAGTGACACAGCCTAAAACGTAAGTCATGGCCGCTTCGATATCAACTCTAACGCGAAAGTAAAATTATTAACCACCCATTGTGGAAAGTAATGAAGTAATGCAAAAATAAAAATAAAAAAAATAATAATAATATTTGAATATTTGAATATTTAATGATATATATTTACCTTATAGGTAAAGCTGTTTCATATTTATTGATTTTTATTTGACCATCGGGCAAGTTTTCTGTTGTTTGATAAATACCCGCGAACGGATTTGCTGAAGCAGAGGCCGATGTTGAAGCTGTCGTGCTAGAACTCGGAATGGGTGTATAAAGACCTGAATTACGGTAAGTTTTTGCTTTTTGTTCGTCTGGAGGTGGTGTATAAGGAGAAAAGGTTGCAGGGTTTTGATAAGACATTTTTTATTTATTTTTTTACTTGATAAAAAATAACTTGTATTTGTATATATTAAAAACTCTTGATAATTTAAATCTCTTGAGAGTTTTATAAAATAAATAATGATGTACAAATGCCCGCCATCAAGACGCAGTATAATCTTGAATTACGTAAAAATGTCAGAAATTTTAATATAAATATTATGTAGTGTATGTATAAGTATGTCAGATAACGTAAAACACGTCGTACATTGTCTTAAAAGCAGTTCTCGAAAAAGGTATTAATGCGTTATTTGGGTGAATAATATTCGACGAATATTTCAACCAATATTTTATATTTTCCATCGTAAAAAAAAATATAATACTAAATGGTTAATAAAATTCCAATTTTTATTCCTAAACATTATAATCCATTTATTTTTCCTGAACTCAATGCTGAACAAAAAGAAATTTATAATAAATTATCCGAGTATGTAAATACTATTTTAGTATCACCAGAAGATTCTCAATATCAAGTAGAACGAGAATGGGTTTCTGAAAGATGTTTAAAACGTTATTGTCGTTCTGCCAACTGGAATTTAGTTGATGCCAAAAATAGAATAAAAAATAGTTTAGAATGGCGAAGAGTGTATAAACCTAATGATATTGATCCTAAAGAAATAGAACCCGAGGTAAATTAATGATTGTTTTGATACTAATAATTACTTTGATTAATTATTAAAAATTTTTTTTTAAATATAAATGAATCAAGGCAATTACAGGTAAAATTCATATTAATGGATTTGATAAACAAGGTCGTCCAGTTATTTATTTGAGACCAGGTTTGGAGAATACAAAAGCTGGACCAAGACAAGTAAAGAATGTAGTTTTTACATTTGAAGCAGCTATTGAAATAATGCCCAAAGATGTCGAAAGCGTGGTTATTATTGTTGATTTTGAGAATTGTTCTCCTCGAACAAGCCCTGGCTTGGGGATCGCTAAAGAATTCATGCATGTTTTAGGGTCTCATTATCCTGAGAGATTGGCCATGGCTCTGATCATAAATGGTAAATATATATTCTTTAAACATTAACTTTTAACTGTAACAAATTGTTAAATATGTTTTAATATTATTTCAAATATTCCCTTTTTATTAGCTCCTTGGTATTTTTGGGGCTTCTTTAAACTCATTTCGCCATTTATTGATCCGGTTACAAAAAATAAGATAAAATTTGTTGATCTCAATATTACAAATGATACCACAGAAAAGAAAAGTTCACAAAAGGTACAAATTTTAGATTATATTGATAAAGATCAATTAGAATCTGATTATGGTGGAGATAATGATTTTGATTTTGATTTTGAAACATATTGGAAAGCTTTATTAGAAAAGGTAGGTAAAAATATCAAAGAAGATAATGAAGAAAATATTTAGATAGATAGAAAGAATAATAGAAAAAATAATATAGAAATGTTCAATATTACATAACTTAAAATTAGAATCAAAATTATATATCATATAATATAATTTTCACAATATATCTTTGACTTTTTGAAAATAAATAATTTATTTAACATCATTTTACCTGGTCAATGGTTTTTGAATTATTCTGATTTCATTGTTAGAAGATTAGATTATATTTTTTTATATATGTATATTGTATATCTTTATCTGTTTTTATTTAATTCTTTAGGTAGTTGCATTTCTTGTAACATTTGTTAATGAAACACAAATTAATTGGTGTCTTCTAAAATATCAATTCAACATTAAACACTAGAACTAATTGGTACATTATAAAATATCAATTCAACTAATATTGCATAGGTTGAATGAAAAAAAGGTAATTTTTTTAACAAAAAATATTTACAAATAAGAAAGAATAGGTAACTTGTAAATAGACAAAATAAAATTAACACATAATTTATATGTGTTAAGATTTTTAATTTTATCAGATATTTTACATATTTATGAATAATAAATTATTGAAATATGAAAAATTAGCAAATGAAATGAACCAGAGAATTACAACTATCACTAGTCAAATACAAAAGAATCACTGTACTAAATGGTAATTCCTATATTATAGATCAGCTAAAAATTGGTGTCCTATTGCATCCTATATTATAAATCAGCTAAAATCAAAATTCCTTTTTTGTACAATTCTTTTGTATTTGACCTGTATATTCCAAGATACTTGTATCAAAATTAAATTTGGAAAATGAAATAAAATGAAAATGAAATGTTTTTATAGAAGAAAAATTGTTTTACTTAAAATTCAAAATTTTTGAATATTCAAATAAATTCTTTAATTAAAAATACATTAAACTGGATACTTTTTTTATTTCTATATAGAGATATTCAATTAAGATGTAAAAAATATCATTTTGAAACCAGGAACATGGAAATACCGAAAATGGAAACACTGTTACACAAAAGTCATCAATTAATTGTGGAATTACGGATTTGTATTGTAATTCCATTTAAAAAATTCACAATATTAAGGACTTTGAGAAATAATTAGGGACACCATATTAGAGCTCTACTTACATTATATGATCAATATAAAATATCATTTGGTCATTCATATGATCACATATATCCAATTAGATCAATATAAGTAATATATATAATTATAATTTAATTCTGAACTTATGACAGTTTTCTATTTTTTAGTTGTTAGGAAAGATTTTTTATTTTTTGAAACTTTATTGTGAAAGGATTAAGACAGTATAATTATAATATTATACATATAAAATTTCCTGATAAAGTATAATATTTTAGTAATGTTATAGGAAATTTAAATATTTTAAATATATTTTAATATTGTTTTGATAGTTATATTAGACATAGATTAAATATTTCATTTATATTTTATTATATTTCATCTTTATTTATTTTTATTTTTATTTTGTATACATTATTTAATAAATTTTTATTTTTAATTTTGTATGAATTTTTATTTTTTAATATTTACTGAATATTAATAAATTAGAAACTCTTATTTTTGATACTAATTTTTTTTTTCAGATTTTTGTCAAAAGGTGAAATAGCTTTTGGTATAAAAAATTTTTTAATTGAAATAGATTGACTATTTTAACTAATGCAAGTGATAGATTTGACTTGTATATAGTTATATATTGTGTATTATTGTATTTGTATCTGTAATATACATGTTACCAAAACAATTGAATTAAATTAGATACAATTAAAATTTGAAAAAAATTGAAATTGAGTCATTAAATTTGGTACTATTGATTCAATTTAATTGAGTTAAAGGAGATGACATGGCTTGAATTGATGTAAACCAGTTTGGTTTGGTTTTGTTTTGAATTTTTTTTTTAATTCCAAACTGTTTCCTTAATACTATAAATAATTACAACGATATGTATTATACAATTTGGCACGTGCTCTAACTGAGAGTGATGACATCCACGAAGCATGATCATTCAGTAACACAAATAATAATTTGTGTTATAATTACAAAATATCAAAGATCGATTTTTTTTTTTTTTTTTAAGAAACCCGTGTTCTTAACGTCTTACAATGACAAACACAAAACACAACACAATGGAAGTGGTAATAAAAGTTCCCCAGTTTGAATATTGATAATCTATATATGCAAAAACTTTTTACGGGGACCGTTTGACAAAATCGAAAGGTCATGATTTAGAATTCAATAAGTTAAATCTAAATTAAATTCTAAACTTCAATTAAATTCTACTAAATTTTAAATTAAATTTTAAATTAAATTCACTAAAATTAGTAAAAATTATATTTTCAAAGTAGAAATTCCACCAGCATCTAAATTATTTAAATTATTGTTTAGAATTTAAAATTAGGTGAATTATTTAAATTTAGTATTACGAGAAATTAGAATTAGTATAACGAGCGAGAATTTAGTATAACAAGAATTTTTTAAATATAACGAATTAGGTAGTATGGATCATTAGATATTAGATCACACTCATTGATCCTCTCAGATAATAGAATTTTTGTCCATCCCGAATTATCTATAATATTATAGATAATATTATGATAATATAATGTAATATTATTACTCTATATAAAAAACATATATAAAAAATATAAATATATTTGTTGCAAGCCTCTTTGGTAAGCTGGTTTGGTGAAGGTCCCAAAAAATTTTATAAAGAATACTAAAAAACCACAAGAAACCATTATTTCTATAGCTACTCAAAAACACCACCTCGTTAAAAATTCTGACTGACTTTTATTATCTTAATCGATTTTCCGTAAATTGTAAGCCTTACCTTAATTAATTAAATCTAGATTATTGGTTTTATTCTTTACTATTCAAGAATAGTAATCGCCTTACTTTATTTTTATTTTATAGTTTTAATAAAAACAAGAAATTATAAAGTATAAAGAAGGACGCCATATTCAACTTCACTGCAATAATGATGGCGACCTCACAACCATTATCAACTGAAGAAAATTTATCCCATCCTCCCCCAATTTTTCCACATCAAATTAATACAAAACAGGCCGTAATTTATAACAAGTCGGGTACAAAGTGTATGAATATAGTAAAAGAACCTACCGGAACAGCGATGTCTCCGACCTCTCCTTCCTCGAGAGATCCTGGTGAACTTACTTCCTCTCATAATCCCCAGAATAACAATAATGGTACTTCTAAAAAGAAGAAGAAAAAGAAGGGTAAAAGAAAGCCTCCCCCGGATCACATTGAAGATCCTGATATTGTTAATGGAACTCATACTCCACATACGAAGTCTAATGTAATTGATTTAAGCAGTGGTGAAGAACTGGTAGAAGTAGATCTTGAAGATGAAGAAGAATTCTTCTCTGATGATGATGGTTATGATCCTGAAGCTCCAGAGATACCATTTACTCGTAAAGATTCCATTGCTAATATTGAAATAGATAATCATCATTTACCTACTCCTACAAAAAAGAAGAAAAAGAAGAAGAAGAGCAAGGCTTCACTTGCTATGAGTCAAATTTCAGATATTCACAATCATTCTCATCCTCATCATAATCATAAAACTCGTAAAGATGGTATCTGGAATACCAATAACAATGAAGAGAGGCAACGTATAAGGGAATTTTGGTTACAATTAGGCGAAGAAGAAAGAAGAAGTTTAGTAAAGGTCGAAAAAGAGGCTGTACTTAAAAAAATGAAAGAACAACAAAAACATTCGTGTTCTTGTTCTGTATGTGGGAGAAAAAGGTTAGTTAGTTCATATATTAATTATTTATATTATTTATATTTAAATATATATATATTTTATATTTTTTAATTTAAATTTAAATTTAATTTCTTGAAGAATAAAAGAAATAGTTTTATTTATTTTATTTTAAAAATTAATTAAGTCACTTGTTGAGTCACTTATTGAGTCACCTGGAGGTGATAAATTTAAAATAAGTTTATTATATATATATATATAAAAACATATTAAATGTAGATATATATGATATATATATTAGATATATAATAACATGAGATATTTAAGATATTAAAATAATAATATAAATATATATATATACATATCTATATATTTATATATTTATTTATTTATTTATTTTATTTTTTTTTTTTGACTTTGAAATAATATTTGTTTATAACTGTAATAAATCAATTTAGGACCGCTATTGAGGAAGAATTGGAAACTCTCTATGATGCTTATTATGAAGAACTCGAATTATATGCTAATCAACAGCAACAATTTGGTTCTTCAAATATTGAGTATCGTAACGATTCTAATACTGAATATGATGATGAAAATGATGATGAAGAATATGATGAAGAGGATGATGATGATGATGATGATTATGAAGGAAGCGAACCGGGTAGCGATACTCGAAAAGAAATTTTTAATTTTGGTAATAGTTTAACTGTAAAAGGTGCGTTTTTAAAAAATTACACACACACAAAAAAAAAAAAGAAAAAGAAAAACCTAGCAAAAGCGTAAAGGTCTTCTTTTGCGGGGATAAGTTTTTTTTTTTTTGATCGTTGATTTTTCTTTAATAAATTCATGTTTAGATAAAAAATACTAATGTTTATAACTGGCTCAGGGGGTATTTTGACTGTAGCTGATGATCTTTTAAAAAATGATGGTAAGAAGTTTCTTGAAATGATGGAACGACTTGCCGAACGTCGAATGCAACGAGAAGAAGAAGCTGCAATGGAACAACCTGATGAATATGACGATGATGATGAATACGAAGATGAATATGAAGAAGACGGTGAAGAAGTAGGAATTATTATTATTATTATTATATATATTATTTATTTTGATATTTTATTTTATATTTTATTTAAATTAGGATGCACAAACTGAAGAACAACGAATGGAAGAGGGTCGGCGGATGTTTCAAATATTTGCTGCCCGCATGTTTGAACAGCGAGTTCTTAATGCTTATCGAGAAAAGGTTTTTTTAGTCCTTTTTTTTAAAAAAATAGTTATTATAAATGTTTTTACCCTTTTGTTAAATCTTTATTTGACATTTTCATCTTTTAGGTTGCTCAAGAGAGGCAACAAAAATTATTGGAAGAACTAGAGGAAGAAAATCGATTAAAAGAAGAGCGTGAATTAAAAAAACTAAAGGAAAAGGAGAAGAAGAAAGCAAAATCTAGGTTTTTATTATGGATTCACTCAGTATATATATATATATATATATATATATATATATATAATTTAAATATAACATTTATATTTGTATTTTGTTTATTTTGTTTAGGGCCATAAAACAACAAAAGGAGGAGGAACGAGCAAGAAAAGAGGCAGAAAGACTTGCTGAGGAGCAAGCTTTACGTGCTGAACGTGAAAAAAAAGCTGAAGAAGAACGTAAAAAACGTGAAGAAGAACGTCTTCGAAAAGAGGCTGAACGAAGAGCAAGGGAGGAAGAACGTCTAAAAAAAGAAGAAGAAAAGAGAAGGAAGGCAAAAGAAGAAAAAGAGAGAGAAGAGCGTAGAAGGAAAGAACAGGAAGCAAAAGAACGTAAAGAGCGGGAGGAAAGAGAACGTAAAGAACGAGAAGAAAAATTAAGAAAAGAAAAGGAAGAAAAAGAGCGTAGGCAACGTGAAGAACGTGAGCGAAAAGAACGTGAAGCAAAAGATAGAAAAGAACGTGAAGCAAAGGAACGAAAAGAAAAGGAGGAACAAGAACGCAAAGAACGTGAACATAAGGAACGTGAAGAAAAAGTACGAAAGGAAAAAGAAGAAAGAGAACGAAAAGAACGTGAAGAAAAAGAACGAAAAGAAAAAGAAGAAAAAGATAAGCAACGAACTTCTATTTTGAATAATCCTGTACGGCAACAACATATTGAACGAAAAAGAACTATTCCACCTATTGGGCATCCTTCTGTACCAACACAACCACAACCACCACCACCACCAATAAATAATCCACCAATTGTTCAATCTAAAGGTGTTGCCACGATGCCTAATGGTGGAACGATAAATTGGATTAATTATTCACATGAACCTCATCAACCTATTTCTCCACATCATCCACCACATTCAGTTAATTCTCATATGCCACCACCACCACCACCACCACCGCCACACCATATGTTTAATCAAAATGGACCACAACCTCAATTTGGAGGACAACCTACCGGAGTTATAAATGGGCCATCAGGGATGTCAAATGAAATTGTGAATGATGTATACCCGAACAATAAGAAAATACTTAATCCTCCACCACAATCGAACACTATACCGGGGATAAACCCCACATCTTCATTATTTACTTCAGGATTAGGTCCAATGTTACATCCTCCACATCACGGTGGACCACCAATGCCAATGCACGTTCATCCTGGAATGCGTCAACAAATTCCTCCTAGAGGATTTAATCATATTGGGGCAACTCCACATTTAGCTGGTCCTGCAGCATCCGCGAATTTATCACTTTTAAATGATACTGTAATAGGTGGAAATGGGAATATAGGTTCCACGGGAGTAAATTCTAATCCACCACCAGGTGCCTTTGGTGGGTTACCTTTAGGTGGGGGACAAGGTCCACTGGGCCCACAAACATTTAATTTACAATCCTCGTCTCATATGGGACCCAATGTTGTTCAAAATACTCCACTGGCTCCTATTGGACATGGACATCGTCGAATGTCTCAACATCCCGAGGATCCTCATGTTAAAGTTGTACAACGTCCACAACCTATACAACGTCCTCGAAGAGGTTCGGCTTCTGCACATAACTTAGAAACACGTACAAGATCACCTCCACCGGGGTTTAGTAATGTGGTTGGCTCTAACGCGTTACTTAATGAAGATCAATCCCATACAATGATAAATAGGCGACAAAGCCTTGCTACAGTAGAAAGTTCATATTTTTCTAATTCTTTATTTTCGACATTACCCGGAGGTTAGAACTTTTTTCCTTAATTGGTCTCTAAACTAAAAATTAAACAAAGAAATCATTGTATTTGTAATAAGTACAATTAAAGCAAACTGCATTACAATTTTTTTGTAGAGACATCATCTCAGCAATCGCATCCAACTCAATCGTTGTCATCACAAAATCAGCAAACACAGCAACCACCACCATCACTACCACCACACCAACTTGGGTCATCACGCTTGCCACCACATAGACCTATTAATGATAACGAATGGCCTCTAATAAGAAGACAAGGAACGAATGATAATCCTCATGGTGAAAATAATAATAATAATAATAGTAATAATAATAATAATAATAATAATAATAATAATAATAATGCTGGAGGTAATAATATAAGTTCAACAACATCAAATGATATTTGGGGTTTAAATAGTGGACAGTCATTATGGTATCAAGAAGGTAATAATACTAATCGTAGGGTAATGGGGGCGAGAGACTTTGGAATACCATAAAAAAAAAAAAAGATATTTTATACATAATATATAAATATTTGTTTACTGTAAATCTTCATATTAACATAAATTAGTAATTCTTTGTATACCATACATACACATATATATACGTATACATCATATATAGTCGGTTTCGTTTAAAGAAAATTGTCTATTATTATTATTATTTTTTTTTTTTTGCAAAATTTTAATCGCATGAACAACATATTACAAAGTACCTTTGTTTAAAATGATTTTATAATTGCATATATTACAACAAAAAAGTTTTTTTTTTCTTTATTATTATGTAATAAATTGTCCAAACAATTTATAAACAAAATTTTGTCTAATAAACCACAAAAAAAAAAAATACTTATTTTAAATAATTCATCAAAATTTTACAAGCAAAAAAAAAATACAATTGATACAATATTGACAATTGATACAATATTGTCAAGAAAAAAAAAAAGAAAGTTGGTTAAAAAAAATAAAAAAGAAAAATACATAATTTAAATAATAATAATTGAAAACTCTGATTAATTAGTTTATTTTTTAATGCTCAGTATATAATCTTGAAGCATGAATTATTCGACAATTTAAAAATCTTTCTTCGGCAGCCGCTATCTCACTAGAGCTTACTAAAGGACAATTTGCCACGTCAAGATGTCGAAGATTTTCTGCTAAATATTTACTAATTGTCTCGATACAATTATCATTGACATAACGACAATATCTTAATATAATTTTTTCTAAATTTCGACAATCAGTAGCCAAATCAATAACTGATTTTTCACCAATACTCCATTCGCGCAAGTCCAAATGTTTTATTGATTCACTAATATAAGTTCGAATTGTTTCCATAAGCTCATCAAGTAATAAATCATCATTATGTATATCTACTCCTCCAAGAACTAAAATTTCTAATTTTCTACATGATTGAATTAAATCCATAATGGCTTTAATCTCAACTCGAATTACGTCTAATCTAAATTCTTCAAGATTTGGACAATGCGCTGCTAGAGCTCGAATACCTAATTCAATAGAATCGGCTGCACCACATGGTAACATTATCAATTTTTTGAGATTATGTTTACAATGAGTTGCCAAAGCAACAATTGCTTCCTCTGAAACCTTTGTTTCTGATAGATTAATCTCAGTTATCATTTGTCCAAATTGTAATGCATTAAATGTTTTTTCATCCATGCTATGACAATCACCAAGATCTAAAGATCGTAAATTTTGAAATATTAGATTATCCATTGCGTGATCTATATGTAATCCATTAATTCTTAAATCAGTGATCTTTGCAATGACGAATGGTGACAAGCCAGCTAATAATATTTTAGGAGCTATAGTAATCCTAACACAAAGTTCATCAAGATATTCCTGAGATTCCAGAAAATTAGATAAAAGTTTTGGGGAACAATTACGAACAGTAAACTTAAATATGCGAAGCCTTTTACAATTTTCTCCAATAAACGTTAAGGTTTCATTAGTATTTTCATATTGTAAGAGATCAAGATGCGCGATATTAGGAAATCTTTGAACCACTGAAGTAAAAATATCAGGTGTTGAATGCCAACAAGTCACCAAGGCTTCTACTGTAACACAACGCTTACTCAAAGCATCAGATAAAGCCAACAAAGCTTCCTGAATTTTTTTGGTTCTATCAACGCAGATAACAGTAGTAGAAAATCTCGCTTCAAGAAAGCGATATAGAATAGGAACATTAATGTGACGTGTAAATGCAATATAGTCCATGATAGTAGTAGGGTAGGTGTCGGAACTTGAACATTCTGACTCCGAAAACTCAATTGCCTGTTCATTTAGACAATTTAAGTAAGTTCTAAGAAGTAGAGAACCTTTTGAATTAAGATCCTTTTTATAAAGCTCTCCGTCTTCTTCTTCAATATCAAAATATTTCCAAGGATTTTTATAAAGGAGAGGAACAGATAGGCGCGCAAATAGACGATTAGTGCGCACACAACTATTTAAAGTTGACGAACTGTCGGTTAAATGAGAAATTATTTCGTGAATACATTCTATTGGGAGTGCCTTTTCAAGTGAACAAGTGGACATTATTTAAAAAAAATTGAAGAGAATAAAGGTGTTTGTAACCTTTATACAGCAAATTAGAAGTATTAATAGTTAAGTAAAAGGTAACGTTACACGGACTTTACTTTCACGTGCATCAGCCACCATTATCTTCGTTATTCTTGGTATTCACAGCCAATGTAATAATATTATATTTAACTATAAGACTTTCATTCCTCTTTTAACGGTTCGCGAACATACAAAAATTAATAATTTAGGTTTCAATTGGTCTCAATTGCCTCAATGCCTCGATTGTCTCAATCTTCTCGATTTTTTCAATCATTTTAATCTTTCGTTATTACCATAAATCATTATCTTACTTGATTATTCCAATTTTAATTTGACTGGATTATTGACTCTGACTAATATTATCATCTGTTGGAATCTATCTTCTTCTCTTTCCATTCCACTACTTTTGGTAATGCTTTCTCCAGTGATTTGTACACAATCTCAATATTTAATTTATATCTCTAAGTTCTATAAGTTCTACAAAGGGAAACTCGATAAGTCAGCCGCTTGATAAGTCGGCTAATGTTGATCAGCTATTCTATTATTGAACTAATCTCAATAAGTCAGTTTTCACGATAACTCAGTCAAAATGACCCAGCTGCCAGTGGCCGACTTCTCAAGCTTGCCTATGTATAAGTTCACTATTTAAGATGTTTAACAGTTCTAACATTTCATTCTAATTCACTATGTTGCTAACGAGGTTTGTTGCAATTATATTTAATATTAATATTATTTTTTTTTCTTTTTTTGAAAGTAATTTCATTGTTTGACTTAAATCACATGAAAACTTATTATTGACTCAAAAAGTTCAAGAAAAAGGACGCGTAATACTTATAATATTTAATATATTCTAATAAAATTAATTCAAACCTGCAGGGATATTTTTTTTAACCCCTGATTGACCTAATCCGACACGTATCCAATTAAGTATTAGATTCTGGTACATTTAAGGATCCTCATTTTTTAAGGATTCTCCTCCTTTTAAGATCTTCTTTGCATTTAAGTTTGAATTTTCAAACTTAGGTAAACCTCGTAATATTACCTATTATTTATTAATAAAATATTAGAAACGATATCAAGTAACCTTTAAAGTTGGGGAATAAAATGTAATTATTATAAAATTTCAGACAAAAATGGGATAATAATTAAATGTTAATTGTTAAATGTTTTAAAATTCAAACAGAAATTATTCTCAATAAGTTTGAAAATTTGTAATAAAATAAATGAATGGCGGACTGTGTCGGATTCAAAAATTGGTTGAGGTTACACGAATCGTGTTCACATTTGATCGGATTATTACTAATTAAATCCCAACTTCGTGAGGCAGTGAACAACAACAATTCGTTTTCATATAAGCAATCCATATTTTGTGAACAGGATTGAACCAAAATTCTTATGCGTGAACACACTCTCATCAAAGCAGGAATAATTTTTTTTTTTAAAAAAATTTAAAATTTAAATTAAGAAAATTAACCTAATGACTTATAAATATTCATAAATGCTCATAAATACTTGTAAAAATTTTCCCTTCCCTTCTAATACTTAATAATAGTAAATACTTGTCACAATTCTAAAAAAGAATAAAGGCGGTATGTAAAAGACTTCTCCTTGACCTGGTCCCAGAAAACCTAAACGATTAGTGAAGTATAAAATACTTGTTGTAACACTTCTAATTAATAAATAATAAATATAAAATATAAAAATAGAAATATTAAAAAAAATTTTTTTTTTTTTTTAAAATAACAAATATTTAAATCATTTATCATATTTTAATATATTGTTGATCAAATTTAGTTCATTAAATATGTTAGTCTCATTCGGGGAATGTTTCATCGGAGGAACGCTGGGCTATAAAAAAAAAAACTTCGAAGCTATGCTTTTTAGTTTTCCTCTGCGGTATAATAGGTATATATTTAGTAAGAATATTTATTATAATAATAATAAATAATAAATACATAATAGATATATAATTATATAATTTATTTATAATACGTTTTTTATAAATCACCTCTAAATCAAATATTCTGGCAGTGTCGTTATTCCGTGTAACAATGTAAAAGGGAGATACCCATATTAAAAAAATTTGTTTAGCCATGTGCAGTTATGTATATTCTCGTGACTAGAGAAATTTTTTTATTGTATCATAACAATTTCTATTGTTAAAAAGAGTTCTATACTATTTTCAGAATTACAACATACCTTTATGCACATGCCCAGCCCGGTAAACCGAGACCCCGACTTGAACTAATCTTGACATTTTCGTTGACATTTACGTAATATAAAAACTTTGATTCATTCGAAAAATTTCTTCAATTTAACTGAGACGCGACCTTGTTTTTTATGGGTACGTTTACTACTTTCATATGTACTACCATATTTTAGAATGTATTTTCGGCTTCGTTCTTTAAGGCTGGTTTATATGAGTTATACTTTCTAATAAAAACAAAGACGTTGAGTGTTTTTTATTATTATGAATTCTTTTCTCAAAAAAAAAATATCATCTTAAAATAAACTTTTAATCACTTTTAGTCACTTTCCGACCTATTTAGTTATTGCTTTAAAATTATTTTATTTATTTTTCGATTTCCTAAAACTTCTTCTTTTGAGTTATTTATATGGCATATATATAGTCGTATGAGTAATCTGTATTATATTTATTATCTATATTTATCCTTTTTTTTTTTTTATTTTTTTATTTTCAACTTTAAATTTAGTTATCTCTTCGTACTCTTTTCGGGAGGTACTACATAGTCTCGGTTTTCTATTAAGTAAGTAAATTAAATTATTAAGTTTGGAATGTAATTTATATCGAAATATTATTTATTTTGTTTTTATACTTATTCTTTATTTCTTCTAATTCTTTCTTCTAAATTCTTTTCTAATTCTTTCATTTTTTTCATTCATAAATTTTTCAGATTCATTCATTCATTTCTCTCACATTCATTTTCACTCATTCATTCATTTTCACTCATTCATTCATTTATCACTCACTCATTTTCACTCATTCATTAATTAAAACTAAAGCCCAGTACTTTAATTTCACAACCACCTAATCGACGGTGACCTTCTTTACCTTGTCTAAAGTAAGTTCTTCACTGTCTTTATGTCATATAGTTATATTTATATTTATATTATATTATATTATATTTCTATTATATTATTATTATTTCTACTACATTATGTTATATTATATTGAATTATATTTACTTTATATTTTATTTTTAATAGACATGATGTCTCTCTTCTCTGGTCAAATCCATACAAACCAGGGAGCAATAATTTCTCCTTTTCATCCAAACGACCCTTTCTTTGAAACATGGCTTGATGCAGTGCTCACCTTCCTCCTTAAACAACACACTAACAAATTAACTTCGTTTTCAGACGAGGTCCGTCAGCTTTATTGTTTAGCGCAACATTTCAATGGGTTTTCTGATGCTCAAATACTTATTTATACTACTATTGCCAAAGCATTCGAAGTTTCTCGATATTGGCCTGGAGCAATCGAGGCTTACGAAAAAATTTTGGCTTTAAAGCCTGATGATTATGAAACGATCATGGGTTTAGCGAGAACTCATGGTTTAGAAGTACACAAGGATGATTTTATAAAATATTCTTATCAATCTATTAATATGAACCCTTTCAATTGGGATTGGATCCTATATATAACTGACTTATTGGTAAATGGATTTTTTTCTCTATTCTCTGAGGCCTTATCAATCCTTGATTATGTAGTCGATCAATTCCCTAATGCTAAAATTGGCTTCGGCGCTGAAGTTTATAAAATTCAAAAAATCTATAAACTCCGAGGGACAATTAGAGAAAAAATTGGCGATAAAGTTGGATTATGTTCTGATTGTTTAAATATGATAGCTGTTTCCTTTTGTGGAAAAACCCTTCCAACATTTATTGATGAATTATTAGAAGCATTAGGATATACAAATATTAGTATTACCAATTATCCTGTTATCTTATTACCACCTGATTACTTAATATCCACCTTATCAACTACATTATTTGCCAGTACAAATGGTATAATTCCTGGACATGTTGGATTACTTCAACCAGATTTCGATTGTGCTAAAGCCGAGATAGTAACTGCCTTTCGCACTTTGGCTAGAGAATTTGAAGCGGATCCACAAACAATACAAGCAAAATTATGGAGTGCATCACCAATGAAATCAGTTGTCTTAATAATGCTTTACATTGCAATCACTATTCAACCATCTGCACATCTTTGTTTACAAATAGCTAAGATCGCTCTCAATATCAAGGAAACTTGCATCGTCAATCAAATCATCAATCAAAGAACCATTGATGGTACTGGTCTTGCCATTGAATATTTAAAATATGGTTTAAGTTATGATAAGAATAATGTTGAGATACTTTGTTTACTTGGTGATATCTTTTATCAACAAAAAAACTATTTTGAAATGATTCCTATATATAACAAAATAAGGCGTGTCGATTCTCAACTTGAATTAAAAGATGGAGCCCGAATACGTCTTAGAATCGCAGAAGGTTATTATTATTTGGGTGATTGTGCAAAAGTCACTAACGATCTGAAAACTGCAATTGATCATTATCAAAATTCTTTCGCATTTGCTAATTTTAAGAGTGATGCATATTTAGATCATCCAAGATTTTTAACGACTCTCACTCAAAATTTAAATTATGTATGTAATTGGAAAAGTCGTGGTGGTATCGGTATTTATTGGTCAGATTATATGGGCAACTTACGTATGGAATCTAAACCACGTGCTAACCCTGGTTACATGAAAATGGTGTCCGATGCTGTTGACAAAGAACTTGCAGAGGGTGCCAATTATGGAAAAGGTGTAATTAATAGTTCTGGCGGAAGTTTACATCTTTTAAATACTTGGTGTAGTTGTTTAAGTGATAATGATAAATCACTCCGATATCTCAATTTTATGGCATCTCAGTGGACTCTTCGAGAGCCAGTATTTAAAAACGAAGGTGGATGGATAATACGAACTATTTTACATTTGATGCGAAAAATACAGCGTCAATGGTACTTAGATATTTATGGACAAACATATAAAAGTTTTGTTCCATTACCCAAAATTCAATTAACTCCATCTGCCCGAGTTAAATATCGAAGACCATTAATTCCCGTAGGTTTATCACGTCCATCAAGCACATCCGTCCAACCATTTTATACCTTTATTTATGATATGGCCCCTCGTCAAGTTCGTCTAATAACACATCGGGAAGCACTATGTGTTGCCTATGATGGCTGTACTGCACCATGGTTAGATACGTGTGTTTATCCACCACCACCACCGCCTTCTCCTAGACTTAAGATTGGTTACGTTTCGTCCGATTTACGAAATCATCCAATGGCTCATTTAATGCAATCAGTGTTCGCTTTTCATGATCGAACAGCTTTTGAAGTGTACTGTTATTCCCTTATGCCAAATGATGGTTCTCCATATCGTGCTAAAATTGAACAAGGGGTTGATGTATTTTATGATTGTAGTGGATCTAGTACAGAACAAATAGTTACTCAAATAGTAAATGATGGAATACATATTCTTGTTAACCTTAACGGTTATACAGCTGGCGAAAGGAATCAAATTTTTGCAACTCGTCCATCTCCAGTACAAGTTGAGCATATGGGATTTGCTAGTGCAATGGGTGGCATGTGGACGGATTATAATATTGTTGATGCGTTTGTCTGTCCTGAATCACAAACCGGGAATAACAAATTATCGCGAAAATTTACTTATAATGATGGAGATTTGTTAGGAGAAATGGATCCGGAGGTTGACGATAATGATTGGACCTATCCGGAAAAAGCTCTCTATTTGCCTCATACATACTTCTTTAATGATCATAAACAAGGATTTCGTGATGATGCGTATTATGTCAACAGTCCATATGCTAATGATCCCGCTATAATATGGGGTTTAGAAGAGGATAGACGTTGGGATATGAGAAAATCACTTTTTCCTCACCTTCCTGAAAGTGCTGTAATCTTTGCAAACTTTAACCAACTTTATAAGGTAAAAATCTTTCACATAATTATCCTTAGCTTGGATGATTTTTATTATAAATATTTTTATATTTTCCTTCTCTCTTTTTGTTTTAAACCTTTTTGTTTTATAAATTTAGATCGATCCCGTGATCTTTAATACGTGGTTAAATATCCTTGATAAAGTCCCTAATTCATACTTATGGCTGCTGGCATTCCCAGAAGAAGGTACAAAATATCTTCAAGAAACTGCGCGTAGGTGGAAAGGACCACGTGTTGCGGATAGGATTATTTTTACGGATGTTGCATTAAAAGAAGAACATGTTTTGAGAGGAAGAATAGCTGACCTTGTATTAGATACACCTCAAGTAAATGCTCATACTACAGCATGCGATACCCTTTGGTCAGGTACACCTATGGTCACATTACCTGGTCCTGACCATAAAATGTGCGGTAGAGTAGCTGCATCAGTCTGTCGAGCAACAGGATTTGGAGATAAGATGATAGTTAGTGATCATCGATCTTATGAGGAGAGAGCCATTGGGCTTGCAAAATCTGTATCATATTCATATTGGCATGGGAGTTATGCTCCTTATTTGCCACCATGTGTTCATCGAAATGGGCAGGGAGAGTTGATCGAATTGAGAAAGAAAATATTTCTTAATAGGGATAAAATGCGTCTTTTTGATACCGAAAAGGCTGTTCGGGAACTAGAGAGAGGATTTACTGAAGCTTGGGTACGTTGGGTTGATGACATTGAACAAAACATTCATGTTAATGGTTAAAGAAATGTAATGCATTGTAATTACAACAGATAGTATTAATAATTAATTCGGCGATGGAATTAAGACATTTCTTTTTTATCATTATATGTTTTTTAAGTATTCTTTTGGGATTGTGCATTCTTAGGTGATGTTACATTTTTTTTAACCGATTTAGGATGTAGTATTGGGTGAATCCTAGTGTTTATATATATATTTTTAGATTCGAATTCTTTTTTTTTTCTCTTTTTTTATTTTATTTTAATTTTTATTATTCTTTTTTTTTTTTTTGAATTACATTACAATGTATATAGTTTTCATTATCTCAACAATAGAGATAAAAATCAAAAGTAATTTTAGTATTGAAGGGGTAATAATATAAAGTATGAGTAATGTGGAAGTTGTTTTTAATCCTTAAAATTATAAACATTATTTTTTTTTGATACGAGAAAATTGTTTAATATTTTTAATAGAGTAAAATAGAAGGGATTAAATGGTGATTGTAAATAATATTTTTTTTTAAGGGTTTCTATGGAGAATAAACCGATTCGATCTTGAAGATCGATGTGTATAAATGTGTATAAAGTCAATTTATATAGAGAGATATAATATTAAAATATCATATATATATATATACTCACGTGATTTAGTAGATTTAAATTCCTAGTATCATTTTGTTTCGAACGATCATTTTACACTTGTAATTTTTCATGCGACATTTTTTTTGTTCTCATAATGTAAATAATAATATTGTACTCTATCAAAACATCAAATTATTAAATCTTAATAAATCTATTCAAATTAGTAGATGTAGTATGAACGTATATTTAACCACGTGCCTGTAGTGACTGTGGCTAATATTACGTGATTATAATAAAAGTGATATAGTAAGTAAAGACCAATCATGAATCACCAATGTGATGTTACACGATAGATTTTAATTCTTATAAATAGAGCTTTTACCTATAAAACGTTTTCAATTTCGTAAAACCTCCATTTTCTCAAAAACCCAAAAATAATTACCAAATAAATAAAATAAATAATTTACTAATAAAAAAATAATTAGTAGTGGTGTGATTAATTAATGAATTAAATTTGTGAAATAATAATTAATTAATTAACACAACAAAATTATATAACGTCAGCAAAAAAAAGATCTACATTCAACAAAAAAGATTTACATAAAGATTTACCCAAAGTTTTACCCAAAGTGAAAATAAAAATGTTAACATCATCTTCACTGCCATCACCATCACCATCAACAAAAAATTCTACAAATTCATTAAAAAGATTTACACAAAGATTTACCCAAAGTGAAAATAAAATGTTGTCACCATCATCGCCATCATCACCACCATCAACCCATTCTACAAATGCTATAGCATCCACCCTCCCGTTGGATATTCTCCGAATAATATTTAATTATTTGAGAAAAGCCGGTAAAGATCCCGAAAAATGTGATCGTGATACCCGACGATATTTACATTCGTGTTTATTGGTGAATATACAATGGTGTCAAGCAGCTATACCAATACTTTGGAGGAATAGTTTTTATTTTTGTAGAGGTGGAAATGCACATTTGATAGAAACATATATTTCATGCTTTAATTCATCTGAACGACAAACATTAATTTCGGCAGGAGTAATTTTACCAATATCACGTTATCCCCGTCCGGCATTTCCATATGCAGCAATGTTAAAACGATTGGATTATGATAGGTTTTGTAATTCCGTGGATATTTGGTGTAACAAAACTGATCAAGAACGGTATAATGCAATTGTAATAATGATGAGAGCATTATTCCGTTTATTCTTAACTCGATCGGTTATATTGTTACATTTAGTATTAGGAGAATGGATAGATAAAACTTCTACAGATTTGAAATATCGAAGAATTATTGAAGATGAATTTAAAGATTTATTACAACCTGTTAAAAAATTAAAAGTTCAAGGAGATTTTGTAAAAGATTGCATTTTGAAAGGATTACAATATCCATGTACACATTTGGTAAGTATTATATTAAATTATTATTATATTAATGAAATTATAATTTGTTATTACATCTTTTCTAAATATTCGTACTCAAAAAAAATTTTTTTTTTTTTTTTTCGTACACACAGGACAAATTATTTGTTTATTTATCAAACACACCTCAAAATTATAGTTATAATGAAGAATTAACTTCTTTACAAGAATTAATCGTTTCCCAAAAACGATTGAAATCATTAAAGCTTGGGAATATAAATCCTAATTTATTATTCCCGTCATTGATTACTCAATCAAAAACATTGACAAGTATTCATTTATTGGGATGTGGATTTAACGAAGAAGTTCCTTGGACATATTTAACTCAATGTTCAAATCTTGAAAAATTAAAATTTAGAGATTGTACAGGATTTAGTGAACGAATGATTGAAGCTTTAATTTCTTCTTTATTTCCGAGATTAAAATTATTAGCTATAGTAGGTGAATGTAAAACTTTAAATGGTGATTTTGTAACTAGAGATTATTGTGATGTACTAATTGAATGGGGAATTGAACAAGGTGCTTTGGTAACTGTTGGGATTTGGGATTTTGTTGACGCTTGGATAAAATTTGGAACGAACGTTTATAGTAAGTAGTATTTATTATTTTATTATTAAATATTTATTTTTATGTTATTTACATTTTTATTCATTCATTTATTTATTTATTTATTCAATTTCCCATATCTTCACACATTTTCTTTTACTAAATTAGCTCTTCGATTTCGATGGAATTACGCGGGTCAGTTTCATAACATATATCGAAAATATTTCGAAGCATTGAGACAACATGCTGATATATTTCAAGTTGATTCATTGTTTTAAATTGTTGTATAAAATTATTATTGTTGTTGTTGTTGTTGTTGTTATAAATAATTAATGTAATAATTAATCTCATGATGAAAACATTTGTTTAATAGTTAAATAATAATGATTATTTTTAGATACTTTTATAAGTAAAAAATAAAATCTGCCTCGAATATGTACTTTGTAATATATGATAAGTGGCTGCTTAATACGATCATCGTCATAAGTTTTTTTTTTTTTTATATCGCAGAACGTAAGGATTTCATATTTTTAGGATTTATTGATAAATTTATATTGTTTTCGATTAATATTATTCAACAGATTATTTTACCACACGCGAACAGCGCGCATTATCCTATTATCCATGTAAAAGACGTTATAAACAAAAGGTATTAATAGAAATATTATTTGTCATGATATTTCTATTTTATCTATTTTACCTATTTTACCTAAATTAATAATATTTCTATCGTTTAATATTTTCGTTTAGCATACGTACACGTCGCGACTCAATTCTCAAATCTTACAAATCTACAATGGTATTTTATGAAATAATTATAATACTTTCTTTAATTTGCGCATGATTTGATACTGTTTTAATATAATATATGTATTGTTATTTGATTTTGTCAGTTATTTCTCTATCAAAAATTGTCTTTAAAAATCATTAAAACCATTGCAACAACTAATAATAATAAATGTGGCTTCATTTAAATCTCTCATCATTAAAACTTTCTTATGATTTTACCCATCTTTATCTTGGATAATACTAATTCACATTTCTTAAAAGGAATTTTAATTGTGACTTTAAAACAAATCAAAATTACGTTATCTAGCGTTAAAATAATAATATTACAAAAACAAAATATCAAAGATCGTCATTTCTTTTTTCATCAACGAAAATCTTGGAATAGATCCCAGAAGAGAATTTATATTTCAATTAGGTGAAATTTAAAATTAAAATTATAATTCTTATTATGACAAAACATATCAGTTATATCAACTTTACAAGGATTACTATCCTATATGTGAAAGAAAAATTTATGGTATCCAATATAACTTCAATCATCATCAATTGTAAAGAATAATCGCTCCACTTCATTTTATAATAATATTCAAAATTTTTATTTTACGAGAAATAAAATTAATAAACTTGAAAAACTATTATCCTGGCAAAAATATTATCAAATATTGATTATATACACACACTTCACTCTTGTTTGTTGGTAAATCATAGTATAACAGTTTCAATTTTGTATAGACAACCTTTCATTAGTTGTTCTAAAAAAATCATGAAATTTTAATAATAAAAAAATATAAATATAAATGAAGTTAATCAATAATGATATCACCCGCGAGTAATAAAAAAACCCTCAATTTACCAAAAAAAAATTTATCATCATCACTTGGACAAGAAAAGAAAACCTTTCATTTTTCTTTAGACAATTAATTTCTCTTTATCTAAACTTCATATCCGATAATTCACAAATATCTACTATTTCTTATCCTAAATTCAAATCCATCCTTTATTATCCTATTCTTCATTATAATAAAATTGAAACGGAAATCTTAATTCGTGCAATAAAACTTTGGAGAACCAATTTTTTAGTGTCAAATACTTATTCTAAATTCATGACAAAGGATGAATTAAAAGAATTGCGTTCATAGTTTTCGTGATCTAAGTACGAAATTATGTCATAAAACATTATCTTGGAAAGAAGTGACAGTAGAAATCTTGTCACAATTATTAGAATTATTTGTAAATACAACTAACAAATTAATTCAATTTCTTTATTTATTGGAGATGATAACTTAATGTACACGCCACAATTACAATGTGATATTCAAACGAAAATCAATGTTTTTGAATTCGTTAATAATCCTTTCAAATTCGTTAATGTCACTGAATTTGAAATAATTGGTCTTTTCAAAAAAGAACTTTTATTAAAGCAGCAAATAATTTCAAAAAAAACTCGATAGTTTGCTAATTGGTAGTATAACATCTTTGGAAGATTAATTTCAAATCAAATTGGATTAAAAAAAATTTATTCTGAGAAGAGCCAAAGGATTTGAAGAATTGAAAAAAGTATTAGAGGCATTAGAAAAACATACACAATTGATTATTATCATTTGGGGATCGCCCACAGCAAAAAAGGGTTTCCGGCGATTTTGAGAAAAATCGGTTTTAAATTACGTAATTAGATAATTTTTAATTTGAAATAATTATAATACTTTTAATATTTTAATCAATATTCATAAAATATGTAAACTTGAACGCACTTTCATGAATATTATAATCTATTTATTAAAATCAAAAAAAAAAAGATTGCAACGGTTTTTTACAAAAAAATTAAAATTTATTAATATACTTGAACGAAAAATACATTTTGAGATGATATACATATAATCTGCGGGGATTCACAACACTAATAACTATACATATGCGTGGAAATAAACCTAAAAGAAAGTAAATCATTTCCTTTTCTAGAAAAAATGATTACATCCGCATTGAATCTTAATATTACATAAATTAAGAATTTTTTTGGGTATAATGGTAACAATTGACTAAAAAGCAGTCAAAAAAAAATAGTTAAAAATGATTGCATACTCATCAAACACAACCACTTTTTCATAATTACTAAATAAATAAATATATTTGTTTGTAAATATAAATATAGTAAGTTTCTATTATACAAAGGGAAATAGAACTTCATTACCTCAAAAAAATAAATATAATATAAACACTTTTAAATTGTATTTTGTGTCTTTTATATATTATAACACGGATATTAATTAAAATTTATGTTTTTTGCTTTTAAAGTATCTAAACTTTTAGAATGGGGAGGCAAAATAAAATCTTTTAGGATTCTCTTAGGACACTGATCAAGTTCATGCTCAGAAATTATGTCATTACCACCCATCGCCGCCACCATCACCAAATGTATCTATGCCAGAGTCTCAAGCTTTAAATATAAATATTTACTCTCAGAGTTCAACCACTGCCTTATTTCAAACATTGGAAATTTCAGAGATTGTGTTCCCTACTGGAGTGGTCAAGTTGCAGAATGGTCAAAGAAATTGTGGCTGCCCACAGAGGCAGGCTTTATCAGTTCACCTTTAATTTCTTCAAGTTCACCCTCAAGTTCACCTCCAAATCCATTCCCAAGTTCTTCCCAAGTTCAATGGTAAAAAGGACATGGTTCTCTCAAAAGACAATTCGAAAAACAAATGAAAACTATATCAAGATAACTTCTCCATTAATACAATCTTCATCTGCTAGAAACGCTTCATTCAGGTAAATATTTTATATAAAATTATATCTTTTTAAAAACTAATATAACTACGAATCTTTGATTTACCTAGTTTCAAAATTGCATGTTACTATATAAATTATAATAAATTATTATTTATGTGCTATAAATTTTTATTTTTTTTATAAGTAATTAAATGAACAAATTTTGATTTATTCAGATACTGAAGGAAATGAAAAAGTAAAAAAAATGAAAGAAACCGCAAACAACATGATGAACCAAAAGAAAAAAGAAATCAGATTTGATAAGATCATTAAAAATACAAATGTATTCCAATTCCTCTCAAAAAATTTTACTTCAACAGTGGATAGGTTGTGCTAGATTGGTTTATAATATGGTAGTAGTAGCTAATTACTATTTCAAATCATGGAAATACAAGACAGTTTTTCTTTAGAATGCTTCTCAGGTTAAAGATTCAATATACAAGAGAATGGGCTTTTATGAATTAAGTTCCATATGATGTATTGGAGCATGCCATCTCAGATGTAATAATAATTGACCAAATAGGAGTGATCAAGTTAAATGGACTCGAAATTAATGTATGAAAAGAAATTAGGATGTTGGACATTTATATGAGTGTATGAAAAGTCTATTCGCAAGAACCAAATGGAAGAAATTCATGTTGCAGCTATTGATCATACTTTTCTTACTTGGTATTTATCCACAATTGGCCATAGAAACATTTGTGATAAGGATATCAATCATATTTTTCGCCTAAGTCGTGCTATTGATACTTTTATTTCACACACCATTAAAGAACCTTCAAAAAAAATGTAATTCTATGAAATACATTCAAGCATATGCAAGGAGACGAAGTGCATAAAAAATCTGCATTGTGGTTAACTCAAACTTTTGATATAATTGTCTTACCAAAATTTAATAGTAAACAAATGTCCAAAAGAAAAGAAAGAAAAATTAATAGTAAGACAGTTAGAAATATGATGAGTTGGGCACATGATAGATTTAGGAATCGATTGATATCTAAAGCAGAAGAACTTAATAAAATTATAATAACTTCTGTATCTGAAGCTTATTCAAATAAACTTGTACTAATTTAGTATTTAAATGTGATAATTGTGAACTTCAGATTAATAGAGATTTAAATGGCGCCCGGGGAATTTTTCCCCTTGATTATGTGTTGATTAGTTATAGTTAGCTGTAGTTGATTAATTCAATCCATCCGAAGAATAAAATAAATTAATAATCAGGATTAAAAAAAAAACGAGAGTTGAACTTGTCTCTAAATTTGGATGATATTTTTCCTTTAAATTTAAATGACAATAACATGGAAAACGATTAAATGAATTATCTCAAAAGAGGAGACAATTAGAAACGAATCAGTCAAATCAATAAATTTCTTAAAAAGAAATGCTACTAATCGCATATGTAAAATACTATTAATTGTATAATAAAACTCTATGAAATCAAAAGGAACACCTTTCATTATAAACGATCTAGTGTTTATTTTTTGTCAAACATATAAATTCTTTATATAGTCAATAAAATAGAGTTTCTATGTTCGATAATATATTTAGTCATATTTTGTGTGATGTACACATGATTTATAATGAAAAAAACAAAATTGGTATATGAGTAAAAGTTTGTTTTCCTTTCTTTCAAATAATGTTTTTTAATGTGGCCTCTATGGAAGAATCACCCGAGGTCAAATCATTTATTGGCGTTATATTCGCTGTTACTGGAAATGTAAGGTTTTAATTCAATTTTGAGAGAAAATTATATATAAATAAATGGTTCTCCTTTTTTTTTTTTTTTTTTTTTTTTTTTTTCCTAAAATTTTTAGTTTATTGTTTTTCAATAGATTTTAATATCCGTAGCATTAAATATTCAGAAGATAGCACACAATGAAATTAAGAAACTTCATCAACTTGAACAATTTGATTCAAGGATGGATATAGATGCTGTCCCTCCTCATCATTCTATCAGGAATTCTACTAGGAATTCTAATAGTAGATTGTATAACGATAATAATGAAAATTACGATTTGATAGATCCAGAGCAATATAAAGAAACGGATTATCTTCATTCTAAAGCATGGTGGACAGGAATATTTTTAATGTCTATCGGTAAGTATTGATAAGTTTTAATTAGATTAACTAGTTTAACTTGTTTTTAACTTGTTTAACTTGTTTAACTATGATTTATCTAGCATTATTTATTATTTATTATTTATTATTATTATTTTAACTTTTATTTTTTACATAGGTGAAATGGGAAATTTCATTGCGTATGCGTTTGCACCAGCTTCACTTGTAGCACCACTTGGAACAGTTGCTTTGATTTCAAATGTGATTTTAGCACCAATTATGTTAAAAGAAACATTTAGGAAACAGGATTTATTTGGAATTTTTATTGCAATTATTGGTGCTATCATTGTAGTAATTAATTCTAAATCTAATGAAGTTAAGGTATAAATATAAATTTATATTAATTATATATATTAATTATATATATATTTTTTAAATTATTAAATTATATCGATATTATTAAATATATTAAATAATTTTTTTAATAGCTTTCGCCAGATGCAATATGGAGTGCTATAATGCAACCGCAGTTTGTAATTTATTTTATTACTACATGCGTACTTTCGATTATATTAATTTACCTCTCTAAAAAAATTGGACATAAATTTATATTTGTTGATTTATCATTGGTGGCGATATTTGGTAATTATTTTTTTTTTTTTTACCAAAAATTAAAATTTCTTTTTGTATTTATTTTTTCATATATTTGTTTTATTCACTGTTTCATTTTTTATTTTTTTCATATTTCTTTTGTTAAGGCGGATATACAGTTTTATCAACAAAAGCAATTTCATCTTTGTTGACTATGGAATTCGTTTTAATGTTTACGGATTCTATTACATATCTTTTGTTATTTGTTTTGATGAGTACAGCAGTTTTACAGATAAAATTTCTTAACAAAGCTTTAAGTCAATTTGATTCAACGGTATGTGTTAGAAATAGAAATTATGCATTAAATTTAAGCGTAAATTAAGTTATTCTGTGATTATTATTATTATTATTATTATTATTATTATTATTATTATTATTAATTGTATTATTATTTGATTATATTATTGTTAATCTTATTATTAATATTATTATAGGAAGTTATACCTACACAATATGTTTTTTTCACTATTTCAGCGATAATAGGAAGTGCAGTATTATATAATGATTTTGAAGAAATGGATATTTGGAAATGTTGTGACTTTTTGTCGGGATGTTTATTAACATTTTTGGGTGTCATTTTCATTACTTCGAATCGAAACAAACCTAATTCTTCATTAAGAAAAGCCAATATAAGAGGCAATAGTATTATTGTTGTTGATCCATTTCGAGCAATATTACCTGAAGAAATTAATAATAACGATTTTGAAAGAAGATTTACACAACCACCACAACAAATACAGCAACAACAACAACAACAACAACAACAACGACAAAAATCACCACCTAGAAGACATACAATATTAGAACCAGTTGATTCTTCAACTCCTCTTTTGTATGATGGAAATCATTATTCAAGTAGTGGCACAAGGAATGATAGTTTATTACAATCAATCGCCAATGGAGTTTCTGCTGCTACAACTCTTACTTCAGGTGTAAGTCAAGCATTAAATTCCGTGGGAACTCGTCATTCACATTCTTTAGGATTAGGTAAATAATAATAATGAAGAAATTGTTTCATTAATTAATTTTATTTTGTTTTATTTACTCTTTTTTTAGTTTAATTAATTTCCTATTATAATTAATTTATTATTATTATTTTTTTTTATTATTATAGATCAAGTTTTTGAAAATTATTGGTTAAAAATGGTAGAACATCACCGAAATAATGATTCACAAATAAATCATCATCATCGTAGTAGTTCTTTACCTCCAATTTCAACATCAGAAACATTTAACTCAGTAAATGGTCATAATAATAATGTCAGTAGTTCCTTAAAAATAGTAGTAAATGGTTTTAATGAGGAAGTAAATGAAGGTGAAGGTGAAGGTGAAGAGAATGAAGAAAGTTTAGAGAATGATAATAAGAAGAATAATAATAATGAAGAGAATAAGAATACGAGAAATTCATATGACACATTTAATGGATTAGGTAACACAGATAATAAATAGTAGTAATAATAGTAATAATAAGTAATAATAATAATAATATAACTTTATGAATTTGATGAACTTTTTCTTTTCATTAGTTTCATTAGAAGAATTATATATTTAAATATTTTTTGATTGATAGATTTGTTTAATTTTATTGATTTAATTTTATTTATTTATTTATTCAAATTTTCTTTTGTATTTTTTCCTAATAATTTTGATAATTTTATTTAATTCTAGAATATTTGTATAATATATTGTCATTCATTCATTTCCTTTATCATTTTTTTACTTTTTTTACTTTTTTTTAGAAAAATTTATTTCTTTACTTTTTTTTTGATTACTTTTTTTTTTGTTGTTGTTTACTTTCTTACATAGTAATATTATTATTATGTAAATAACATAAATATCAAGTATCATTGATATATTATTATGTGTATACATAAATATCAAGTATCATTGATATATTATGTGTATACATAAATTTTTTTTATATTAAAAAAAAAAATGAAGCATGAAACAAAAAGAAATAAGAAAATAATTGGGTAATAATAAATAAATAATATAAAGAATTGTAAATTTTTATTTCCATAATTTGAATAATGTACAAAAATTATTATAAATGTATATAAAAAAATTTTCAACCCTTTTTTTTAAAAAAAATCAAATATTTATTAAAAGTCTATAAATAAATATTCACAATAACTGGAAAATGGAATAGAATATATAATAATATATTTAATATATTTAAAATCTATCGACTTTAGCATTAGACAAAAATTGGATTGCCCTCGGTTGATTCTTCAAAGCAGCCATCTTTAAATATTGTAACCCTTTTTCTCTATCTTTACTTAATCCTACCATTCCAGCATAATACATTCTACCTAAATTAAATTGAGCAGTTGCATTACCATTTTCAGCTGCCAAAGTTAAATAATGTAAGAAGGCATCGGTATCTTGAATAATTTGATCATGATAAAGTGAAAATGCATAACGTAATTGGGAATCAGCTACATCAGCATCAGCTGCTTCTTTAAAATATTTAGTTCCTTTTTTAACATCTTTGGGTATATGATAACCTTCAGTTAAATAATGTGCTTGCCAATATTTGGCATAATTATTACCAAGGTCCGCGTGAGCTTGAAAACATTCCCAAGCTATACGTTTTTCACCAGATTTATGTGATTTTATTCCTTCTTCAAGTAATAAGATGGGTTGAACTATTGGAAGAAAATTTAATTCTAAATCTTTGTCTTTTACATTATTTTCTGCGTCAATTAAAGGTTCAGATGAAGAAGATGTAGATGAAGTAGTTGAAGTAGGAGATGATGATGATAATAATGATGAAGTAGTAGTAGTAGTAGATGGATTATGAAAACTATCTATTGTCGATGATGGCGATGTGGGGGAAATTGATGATTCAATATCGGATTTATCAATTTTTTCTTTTTTCACCTTTCTCTTAAGAGATTCATGATCACTAATATTATTATCATTATTGGCAGTGTTTTTATTTTCAATTAGAGATTTTAGATATAATTCTTCTAATTGAATGAATAATTCATGAAGACCTGGGCGAAGAGTTGGATCGTCTTGCCATGCTAAAATTAATATATGAAATTATTTTATATATATATATATATAAATGTTACAATAATCCATAAAATAAAAATAAATAATAATTTTAATTTACCAGCTCTAATAATTTTTTGAAATTGTCTTTGTATTTGAGTTGGATTCTCCAAATCCATACTTTCTCTCTTTCCAGCTTTAACATGGTCAATAATATTTGTATAACTCCAATCTTTATATGGAATTCTTTCTAAACAAATCTCCCATAAAAGCATTCCAAAACTATTATAATTAAAATTTTAAAATAAATATTATTAATTTTTCTTAATATATATTTATCAATTTTTTTTATTTTTTAATATAAAAAAAAAAGAATTTAATACCTGAAAATATCACATTTATGAGAGAATTTTATTTTATTTCCTAATCTTAATTTTTCCGGAGCCAACCAATGTACTACAGCTGTAATATTTTCTACAAAATATCTACTATATTTTGCAGGTCGACCAAAATTAAAGTTTGCTATTTTTGGTTCAAGATCTTTTGTAATCTAAATAATAATATAATATTTTTTATAATAATAAAATAAATAAATATAATGAATAAAAATAGATATAAATATAAATAACAATATAAATAAAAATAAAATAAAAATAAAAATAAAAATAAAAATAAAAAATATTTACCACAACATTTTGACATCGAAGTTCTCTATGAAGAATCTGACATCCATGTAAAAATAATAATCCCCGACCAATTCCTACAGCAATTTTTAATCTCACGGACCAATCTATATCAAAATTTTCATATAAAGTTTGTAAATCACCTCTTTCGGCCCAATCAAAAACCAAAACTTGACCTTCTTCTAACTTGGAAAGTCCATGAAATCGAATTATATTATCAGATTGATTAAGACTATTTAACATAGATAATTCATTATGAAATCTTCCGGTTTGTTCGTCATCAAAATATTTACAAGCCACACAGCCCTTATCGTAAAACTTTTTTTGAATATTATGTCCTCTCGAAAGATCATGAGATTGTTCATTATTATCTTTAATTTCTTTGATTAAATCGAAAGGTATGGTATTTGTTTTATATTTAGTAGATTTACTGAATTCAGTAACGTGATTTTTCTTTAAGATTATTTCTTCAAAGATATTTCGAATTTGTGGAATGTTTGAAGTAATTATATCCCCATCATTTGTAGTAATTCCACTTTTCACAGTATTCAAAAACTACAATAATTATAATAAATTATAATTATAATAAATTATAATAAATTATAAATTATAATAAATTATAATTATAATAAATAATAATAATAATAATAATAATAAGTGAGAATAAGAAGTGAGAATAAGAAGTGAGAATAATAATAAGAAGTGAGAATAATAATAATAAGTGAGAAATACCTTTGTCATTATTATAATATCATCTTTTATAGCGTTACTATCCCTTATTTTTTGATCATCTTTAGAATAAGTCATTCTTAAACGTAAATTCCAAACCAATTCATCAAAATCATTAACAATTTCCCAAAATTGATTTTCAATCATTTGAATATCAATAAATTTTCTTAATCCATGAAGTTGAGAAATATCTGTCATAAAAGATTGAATCCTTTCTAATATATAAATTAATTTATGAAAGTCATTATAAGTATTTTGATTAAAGAAATAATCATTATTTTCTTCTTTATGTCGTTTAAGAGATTTTATAGCCATTTCAATTGATTCCACTCTATCTATTAAACAATCACATATCCTTTTATTATATTGTATATTATCATAAATTTCAAGAATTGATTTACATAATTCTAAACTATTTATAATTAATGGATCGAAATGTCTTGATGCTTGACCTACAACTGCTGTCATTCCCAAAATTAAAAATTCATTTAAAAAATCATCGGATTCCATTAATGATGAAGATGATGAATCGGAAATGCTATTAATATTTCCAAAATAGCAATAAGTGGGATTATTATAATCGTTAAAATTATTGATGAAATTTCCATAATTGTTAAAATTGTTATTGGAATTATTAGAATTATTACTGTAATCAATGAAATTGGAATAATGATTATTGTAGTTGTTATTATAGTTGTTATCGTTATAATCGTTATTATTATTAACGTTATAATTATAGTTATTGTTATAATTATTGTTATTGATACTATTATTATCGTTATTGTTATTATCGTTATTGTTATTATCGTTATTATTGTTATTGCTATTATTGTTATTATTATTATTATTATAATTATAATTATTGCTTTGTAACGCTCGCCACATTAAAGACATCATTCTGAAATATTGATATTGACTATTGAAAGAAAGGGAATATTATTTAGAATATCAAGATAAATATATATATATGTATATTTAATTATATATATTTATCATATGATCAAAGATAAAATATGTAAATTAAAATCAAGATAAAAAAAAAAAAAAAAAAAATCCGATTTAATTTTTTCTCATAATTTCACGTCATGTTAACAAAAAAAAAAAAAACGTACCTTATTAATTATTATTGGAAGATTATTGAAGTTATTAAAAAAGATCATAAAAAATGATAAAAAAAAGCTATAGTGAAAAAAAATTTTATTCTAAAAAAAAAAAAAAAAAAAAGAAAAGGTAATAATTTTTTTTTTTTTTGTATTAATTAATAATAAAAAAACTCCGAGAGAGCGAAATACAAGAAAAAAACATTGTGTTATTTATATATCTATCCCAAAAATGCTCGTTGGCGCCACATTTATGAGAATTGGGTACGTGTGTGTCACGATAGGAAATTTTACTAATGTTTTATAATGGAGTTGGTGTTTGTTCTACTGAAAACCAGGGATGTTTGATTATCCGATTGTATTTAATCGAGAATGTAATTGAATATAATTGAATATAATTGATTTTTTTTTTCTTCTTTCTGTCTTCAAGTAAAGACAATACATCATTAATACATCAACAGAATCTAATACACTTACGATACATCATCCTAATACATCACATCCAAATATAGAATACAAAACTATATATATTCTAGTCAATATATGGGTATAATGGAATGATCTTTATAATAATGGTCTAAATGGTCTAAATGAGACAATTTGGGGGGTTGGTCGTAAGATTATCATAAGAGAGAGATTTATACATTTACATCTATGTATGATTAAATAAATGATTTTCTAATTGAGCTTCCATCAATAGTATTTTTCGCTTTTTCATTGATGAAATATCAAATAAAGGAATATCAGAAAATAACAAAAGAAAAGAAATATCGGAAATGAAAGAAATGTAATATTAATGTAATAGCAAATGACATAACTAATATATAAACTTTATTTTCCATCTCAATAAAAAAAAAATAAAACAACGAACAAACGAACAAATGAAACAAAATTATACATAGAAAATACATACATAAATTCTGCATCTCCCATTCTCTTTGGGAAATATTTGATATGAGCACTTTTTTTTAAAAATACATATAATAAAAATATAATTTTTTTTTCTTTAATTATAATTAATAATATTCAAATACGTTACCACAGCGCCAAGCACTGTAAAGTGACCAAAAGAAGAATACCGCCATAGAGATCAGTTAACTAACTTAGGATTAGACAATTTCCCCAAAATAAAGGTAAAGATCATCCGCTCAGCTATGCATTGTTGATTAAGAAATTATTAATTATAAATTTATTTTGGTAAAAAAATTTATATATGATTACAAATTTAAACTAAAGTTAATGTTATTTTTTTAAAATAATTACTTTCTTTTTATTTTCTTGTTATGGTTTTCTAATACCGAAAATGTTTTATTTGTTGTGTCATGTTTTTTCATTTCATTTTTTTTTTTTTTTATTCAGTTTCAATTTTCATTTTCACCTGTTTCAATTTTTCGTCTGGTTTGTTGAATTTAATAAGAAATATATATTATTTTTATGTTTCATCTGTTCTGTTATTACAAATGAATAAAAACAACTCAATCTATAAATTAAAGCAAACGAGACAAAAATTGCGTAAATTGAGAATTAAAGAATTTGACACTTATATATAGATTAACTATATATATAATTATTACTATATTTGTTTTTTTATCAAACGCGCATGTTTAGACATATTGTGTTTTTGATGATGTCATTAACTTTATTAATTGGACTGATAAATAAACAAAATATATCCAATACTGTCATTTTTCAAATCAAATTAGATCATTTTTTTCGAAGTGCTACCTATATATTAATTAAAAAAGATAAAAAAAAAAAAAGATAATAATTTTTTTTAAAAAAAAGATGATAATAATTAAAAAAAGATAATTATAATTAAAAAAACAAACAAACAAAACAAGTTATTAAAAAGACAATATCTAAAAAAAGATAATAATTAAAAAAGTTAATAAGTTAACAAGTAAAAAGGTTAATAATTAAAAAAAAAAAAAGTTAATATAAAAGAATTAAATATTTACACTTTAAATGGAACAATTTGATAACTTTCCCAAACATTATTAATTACATATGGATCTTGTTCAACTTCCTTTCTAACTTGTTCTTCAGATTCTGCTTCATAAAGAATTACACTTCCAATCATTTTATTATTTTCTCCATGATCTGATAATAATGCTCCACCGAGTACTACAATATCTGATTTCTCTGCATGAGATAAATGTTGAGGTCTAACTGATAATCGTCGAGTTTCAGAATCTTCGCAATCTGTTGCTGGTAAAATGTTTGAATTTCATGAGTGATAAAATTTTTAAATAATGTTAATGATAATATTTGATAATATTAATAATATTTATTTATAGATAGATAAGATAAAATGATAATTATAAATTATAATATTTGATAATATTTATAGTAATTATAATTATAATATTTGATAATATTTATTCATAATTTTAAATAGTAATTATAATTATAATTACCCAACACTAAAAATTGTTTGGATACTTTTAAAAATTTAATTCATTAATTAGTATTTATTATATTTATTTTTTATTATAAAATATATAAATATATATCCAAACCATGAAAAATTGTGCTAAATCTTTTTACATTTGCTAATAATAAAAAATATAAAACAATTAATTATTGTAATTATTCAATTATAATAATAATAATAATAATAATAATAATAATTGTAAAATACCAATCTTTGAAGGCAAAGGCAATAAAGTTCTATTAATTAAAATATCATTACTACTTAATAAAGTAATGGCTTTGGTGATCGC